ATTCAAGGTTGACATTAGGTTGTTCTATCACTTCTTTGGCAACCGTAGCAATAGCAGGATGAGTTACAATCCTTTCAAAACTCGTCATAGAATCAGTAAACTTACAATACTGAAAAACTCTAAAAATATGGAGAAATAGATGCCAAAATCGAAATAACAAACCAACAAAATACCTCAGAAAGGGTCCGAGAATCGAGGATAAACAATCCAATCTGTATGAGAAGAGATCCCAATGACAAAGCTTCAAATCTGGAATGGAATTGAAAATCCAACTCCAAAAACCCAACAGCGATGATAAGAGAAAAGAATCAAGAGCTTATAGCTCTGATACCATGTTAGAAACTGAAAAGAAGGAGAAATATCTGAAGAAAGGTTTATTGCTTTCTTGAATTATACTGTATGTACAATGACCTATATATAGGTGTTTACAAAGAGAATATTCCAAAACATAAAATATTTACAATAATTATGTTCACATCTAACAGATCTTGGAGCAAGTCTCCCTGTTTCTTAAACACGGCCGCTGCTGCTCACTTGAACTGCTTATCGGACTTACCGGATGGAAATTCTCGTTTCTTGGAGAGGAGGAAGAAACGGGATTAACTGTAGTTATCGGGAAGAGACTAGGCATTAGCCTTTCAGAGACAGTCCTCAGACAGAATGATATTTATTGGTATCACATTAGCATGGGCCTCCCAGCCTTTTGGGCCGACTTGCCCTTAGGCTGAGACGTTCAACTTCTGGCTTGAGATGGACGTGGCCTGGACCATGCTTGACCCTACTTTCCTTAAGATTGCTTTTTTTATTCATTTATTTTTGAGTTTTAATTTTTTACATTGGGAAAAGAGAAATTAGTTGTACTGATATCAGTCCAAACAAAACTCAAGCATTTGGGAAAGATAAAAGTAATTTTATAATTATAAAGGAGGTGACATGTCTCTAGAATAAAATGAAATTTGTCTAGATGGATATAAAGTAATTTTATGTTAAGTTGGTTTTATTTGCATTGCTATTCCTCTTTTTTCATTAGAGATTTAGTTTGGGTTTTCTATTTTATAATATAGATGGCAAAACAGAGATAGTTATAGTTGTGTGGGTATAAGGACCTACTGCTCATTCAAGGACTCATTTTATAGAATCCAAATTATACAGTAATTTTTCCTATTAGTTTAGTTGTCATTTTTGATTTTCTAGTAGGTATCTTTAGTAGAGGTTTACAATTGAATTTACTTCTTCTTTTTTTAGTTAAATCTAATTTACTTAGTATATGTCATTGGTTATTTAGTAAATAAAACAACATGTGTTAACTTCAACGTCTAAATATAATTTAGTTCCAAAGCCCAAGCAAAATTTGTGGTAACTGGATTCATATTTTTATGATGAAATTGTTCTAGGTCTTTGTTAGGTCATGTTGATGCCTTAGTCTTGACGTAGGCTCGTGAACCAATTTTGTTTTAATGGGGATTATTCATTCTCCATTAAAAAAAAAAGTTAAAAAACCCTTGAAAAATATAATAAAAATAATAATTTATTAATAATAAAATTTTATAGTGTCATACAGAATTGCTCTTATTATGTTTTTAATTCAAGTGAAATGCATTAGTATGCAACTATTTATTTGATGTTATGTGGTGATTTGTAATAAAATTTTCGTTGTCAAAACATCAAAATGGAAAGAATAATAAAGTTAAAAGGAAAAACGTATGTTCCTATAGAAAGAAACTCGAAAGAAAGAAAGAAATAAATAAATAATGGGAAAAAGTTGGTGAACTTTCCCATTGAATTCTCATGGCACGTACTGCTTCCTTCTTTATTTAGATTGAAATTCAAGTTCAAAGTTCCTGCCTTGGCGAGGGTTGTTTTCGGAGACACTAGTACACTCCACTCTTCAATCTGGTCCTTGCATACAAAAGAACAGGGACATTGCTGGTGATTCCAATTCTGGGCTACATAGGAAGTATACTATTCACGATGGCAAAGGGGATCTTTTTCCCTTAATAAGCTTCGCCAACAAGGGTTTGTAGCGGATCGGCACTGATGGGAATTGAACATGATTAGGAGTACCCGGCGGCGATCAGAGTGCCTTGGGCTTGTCCAGAGGATTGGCAAAGAGGAAAAGGATTTTATTGATGAAGTAGTTTGTGATTTGCACGGGGCTAATAGTATTAGAGGTGGTAAAGGGGCTCTAGTTCCCTTCAACAGTTTGGACAGCAAGGGATTGCAGAGGATTGGAAAAGATGGAGCTCATGTCTGCCCTGATGGGGTTAATACCGCTCTCTCTGTTGGTTAATTTTCATGCAAACATAGATAGGGTGGCAACCTGTAGGTTAGGGACTGTTTGTTGCCGGAATCTCTGCTCTCCCCCATGAACTTGTTAAATAGGTGAGAATGTCTAGTAGCTTTTGATACTCATAGTGACTCTTCTTTCTACTTTAGTAACCCTATTTAGCCCATACAGCGATTGCGATTGTAATCTCTAGTTGCAGATGACTCTTCTTACCTAATTGTCTATATTTTTCATGGGTATAGTTTAAATCTGTTATCAATACTGTAAGTTCTGCTTCTGATATTTTCTCTAAGCTATCATGCTTTAAGCCATATGCCTTGCGATGGAGATTCTACCATATATTTTTTTTTATTTTTTTAATATATTTCTCCATTTCCTATAAAAAAAAAAAAAGAAAAAGAAGTTCAAAGGTCCTGCAAATGAAAGTCCTTATGTAGTTGTAGACTTTGAAATACCAATTAATTGAACGTTAATATGAAACTAGTATCAATATCTTGATGTGGCATGATTCTGCATAACTTATAAAGTCTAATGTTGATTACAATTTAAAATCACACAAGAGAATTAGAACATTTCAAGAGTGATGCAATGCAATAGCGTACACGTTAAAGTTTAATTAAGGAAAGGATTACTCAATTAACAAATAGATTACTCAACTTGATGCGCAAATTAGTTGAAGCCACGCTGATGAACACACGGTGGGTAGTGGTGGGCGGAAAAGTTAGCAATTGAAAAAAATTCGAAACTGACCGAAGCCACAGGCAATGGGTAGGGTTTAACAGGGTTTTGAGTATTTTTAATTAAAAGTTAAATCAAATTAATCTCAAACGGTTTCGATTTTGGTTATTAAGTTTAAAATCTAACGAACTTGATAATTAAGGTGAGTATAATTGAAAATTCTAGTTCAAAAGCTTTTCATATACTCTCTTTGTTCATTTTTAATAGGCTTAGTTTTTTATCTAATAAAATAAAGACGTAATAATTTATTGATAAATTTTTATATTTATTCCTAATTAATTATCACTTAAATAAGACCTCTTATTTAATATAGGTTGTGATTATTTGTTAAAATGAGGGTAAAATAGGAATCAACATATTAAATGATAGTATTTTAAAAACAAAAAGTGGACAACTAAATTTAAATACCGCAAAATAGAAAACTAGATTTATTAAGGTTAAATGGAGATAGTAAATTTTTAACAATTTCTAGATTTATAAAGGTGTTCTTGGAACTTTTCACCAAATTATTTATTTATTGGGATAGTTTTTAGTTTTTTAATAATTAAAATTAATAACATAATAATTAAAAAAATTTAAAACCAAAGTCTATCTAAATAGTTATTCTCAAAAACTCAATTGAAATGGATAAAATTTTTTTTTTCAATTTGATTAATAGTTTTTAAAATTAAATAACTAAAAGTTTAGTTAATTAGTAATTCAATTTTAATTGTAACTAATATCAAACTACACTCACCCCTAGTGATGGCATGCTTTCCTACACAAAAAATGAAAATTATGTAAAATCAAGTAAAATCTCATAAAATTCATTCAAATATTAATATCAATAATACCAAAGTAAAAATTTCACATTAATATTTAATAAATTCAGCTTATCACTAACCACTACTAACAAGTTAAAATTAAGTTTTTGAAGACTCATGAAATTTGATCCTAAAAGTTGTTAGACCTACAACGAGGAAACATGTTTTTTGCGGCAGTAAAATCAGTTGCAAAAATTTATATTTTTTGTTACAAACTGCATTTGTGTTTAAAATTTGGTTGGTCACTGTCTGTTACAAATACTGAATCATTAAAACTAATAGTAACTAATTTTGCAGTTGTGGCAAAAAATCATGATTTCAATAATGGAAAAAAATAGATACAATTATTAGTTTATTTGTAACAATTATTTGTGTCACCATTAAAATTATTTGTGATAACGCAATTGAACACAAATAGTGTTTCTTTTGTAATATCCATATTCTGTCACAAAAAACAAAATCTTTTAATGTGACGAAAAATTAAGTTACTAATAATTTTATCTCAATTTAAAAAAAAATTCCCTAAAAATAAAATTTTAAAAATTTTCAATATGATTTTTAATATAAAACTAATTATTATTATTTTCAAATATATATTTAATTCAAATAATTTTAAATAATAATTATTATTATAATAATAAAATGTTCAAAGGCCAATAATAAAATTATTTAGCCAAAATCCAACATCTCAGGACTTTAAAAATTTGTATAACATATTTTAAATCTTTTTTTATATAAAGTATTTGTAGATTATATTTTTTGTTTTTAAATGACGTGCAATTTAGGCATTTTCTTATATAGAGTGTTGATAAGTTTTACTTTTTATTTGTAAGTGATGTGGGATTTTTTTATTCTACAATTTTACTCATATAGCAATAGAAGAATAAAATATCTATTAAATAGAAACAAAAAGGAACTCATTCAAGATAAAATAAAAAATAATACATTATAAATTTATATCGAAGTTACGGTTATCAATTTATTTCTAACAATACAAGTTAATTTTTATTAATATTTAGAGTACAAGAGGTACTCCTAAACTCTGAGAATCATATTACTTCCAAATATATATTTATAACACATAATTATTCTTAATTAACCACAACGATCATACATAAGCAAACCATTCCACTTCCTAGTTACCACCCTTCTCTCACTCTCTTATTTGAGATTAACTTCAAGTGTTGGTAAAAAACTTCCCAACAACTACCAAACATAAATCTCACCACTTCAAACACTTTCTCCATGAGGCATAGGCAACTTGACAGTACGTAGGAACAAATGATGGACATTTTCAATTTAGTCATCATACATTTTACATTTTGTCAAATTGTAATTTTGCAAAACCCCCTTCTTAAATTAATTACAGTCATTAATTAATTGTAATTTTACTCGTGAAGTTGTTAATGCAAATATGCTGTGAAAGTATGGTGTCCCCATATATGATTAGAGAAATCTGTTTTACAGGATGGACTATAAAATTACTTAAATGCCCTTAAATTTGTTTTTATATTATTTTATCAAGGGTATTTAATTAATTTCAGTGGGCAAACTGTATACAGTCCACCCTAAAAAACAGTTTTCAGATATGATTATGTGTATATAAGGTATTCCTGGTGCAAATATGTTATATGCTTATATCTCTATCTACATGCTTGAGTGAGGTAACATTTTGTAGAGTTAATAATAATGCAGAGATCCAATATTAATGTAATTCTATTTGTAAAGGTAGGAGTATTTTTTTTTGTTCAAATAATAAAATTTGCTATTCAAAGAAATTAATAAAAAAACTCCATAGAATTATGTGTTTCTTTGGATTTGGTGTAAGAAATAATTAAATATTTTATGAATAGATAATAAATAAGATATTTCAATAAAATTAAAAGAATATTGATTCACCGTGGGTTTTATAGTATTGGAGGAATAAAAAAGTTATATAAGAATAAAAATGTAGCTAGTGCACATTTTTTTGAATTAATTTAGTTGAAAAATTATATTTTAATAAAATTCTTTTTCACTAATATGTGATTGCTATTGGTGTCACAATTTTTTTTTTTTTTATTTCTCAAGTTCAATTATAGCCTAATTGTGATAGAAAATTTTGTTATTTATTGTGATTTTCTTTTGTGATAAATTGTACATATTATTACAAAACATAATTGTTACGAATGAAAAAGTTTAGTCACAAATAAAATTTGGTATATGTGTCAAAAATTAATTATTTGTAACTCATATTTTATTAGTAACTAAGAATTAACTTATAGGGACAATTTTGATTGTGACAAATTGATGTTATTTATTGTGACAAATCTTTTGTGACTAAATGTAAGTAATTTTGTGTTAAAATTATATATTTGAATTTCAAAAATTAGAATTAGAGACTAATATCCTGAATCGGTTACAAATATAAAAAATATTAGTAACAAACTAGAAATCAATCACTGTTTTCAGTCACAAAATATCTGTTTTCTCATAGTGACTAGTGATAGGATTTGGCCCAATTCGATTTAGTTGGTGTTAAAGCGATCATCTCTCGTAGGTGTGGACCTATGTTTTGAAGTGGATCTTATGTTTGTGAGCCAATATTAGAGATTGTAACACCTCATGGGGGCTGATATTCGAGATTATATATCTAAATGTGAAGATCAACCATTGTTAATAACATTTAAACAAAGGAGACTACAACACCTTAAATCTCACATCGATGGAAATAACTTGAGTTTGAACTATTGATGTATCTATATGAACAAATATAATGGACTAATTAACGGAAGGATTAAAAAAAAATGTATTGTTCATAGTTTAAAGAAAGAAAAAAGTATAAAAAATACTCTCTAAATCTCAAAATAACTTTTGTTTTTTTATTTTTCTAAATTAAGGGTTTCAGACAATTTATGTATTTATCTATATTATTTTAGAAAAAAGCTAAAAGATAAAGTAAGATTTTTTTTAATAGGATAATTAATCAAAATAAATAGATAATGATAGAGATAATGACAAAATTAAAGTAGACAAAAAAATTGGTCTACTCTAAAAAAAAAAGATAATTAATTTGAAATAAATTCAGATTCAAATACAACAGTTATTTTAAGATGGAAATAATAGTTTAGAAATTAAAATGATTAAAATCGAAAGTTAAAGGAATAAAAAAAAATGACATTTATCCCTTTAAAAAAGAACACCCAATTCACAACTGAATTCAACAAACGATGGCGAGTGAAACTCAATTGACAAGAAGAAAAACATCAAAAGGCAGAAGAAAGCAAGACAAATTAAGAAAACGGAAAAGAATTGTACCTGTCGAAGTAGAACTCCTGATCGGACCTAATCAACTCCAGAATTCATCACCCAAAATCAGACACCAAAGAAGTAAGAAAAGCAAGAATTAGAGCATAGAAGGAGAATCAGAAGGGAGGAAGAAGAAGAAAGAGATGAGCAAGGAGAAACTGAAATAGACGAAGAGAATTCTGTATATTCATCGACTGAAAATATGCACCCTTTTATACAAGAATTATGTACAACAATATAAGCCCAAAGGACAATATTGGTCTAATGCAATAACAATCACCAACAAATTCCGGTTATCTTCCCCAACTAAATTGCCATGCATAAGTGTGAGTGAAGGGTGGGGCAAAGACTTTTGAGGAGTCATCCTTCGAAAAGTCAAGAACAGGAATGGTTGGAAACTTCACACGTCCGAAGGAGAGCGCGGGAGATTGGAATGTTCTAGAAAACTGACTTCTAAGAAAAAAAAAAAAATTATGCACCACGTATGGTTTTGATTTTGGGATTTTTGTTTTTATTTTTTTATATATTTAGTAATCGATACTATATTTAAATTTAATCTAATAATTCAAATTTTTATTATAAATTTTAATTTTTAAATATAATAATAATTAATAAATATATAAAAAAAATAAAATCTCATAACGTAAAATGAAAATTATATTAAATGGAACATAATTATCAAAGAGTATATATATATATATATATATTTTTTTTTTTTTTTTACTTAAAGATTACTTTTCCGTAATTAAAAGAGTACAGAAATTTTCAGGATATTATCCTAAACTTGAATCGTGCTAACGATAAACTATAATACAAGATTTTGCTTAATTGGGGATTAACTCTTCGGATATAAAAGAGATCTTAACAGGGCATTTAATTTAACAGTATGATGCTTACTTTTCTTACTTTTACTCGAAAGAGATTTAATTTAAATTCTTGAAACGCACCAACTGCTACTAGAAAAGTGGACCATTGCTGATTTTGACTGCAAATGTTTGTATAATTGTAACCTTTATGTTAAAGATATATTATAATAAAGAAAATTAAGAATATATTTATTAATTATGTCAAAGAAATGTGTCGCTAGAGTTGTATATATTTTTCACATTTTTCATACTACATTTGCCTTTTTACGGTAGAAGTATTCACAGTACATACTAAGAACAATATATTGAAGATTAGAAAGAAAATCCTATCTACAAGAATATGGTCTGTTCCATTAATCCCCCCATTGTTTTTCTTGGTTTTATGATTGGCACTAACTTAGATGGGTATCAAACCAGTCACCAAGAAACTATTGTTTAAGTTAGAGTTATGTGACAGCTTCTGTCATCTCCATTCTTTCATTTAGATGTGTCATTAATCCTCAAACACCAAGCAATCTCCCATTGTGAATTGCAAATGCTACTTGGTCTAGCAAGGTGTTGTAGGCTTAAGTATACTAGTTGCTCAAATAATAAAATGATAAATATAGTATTACTCTCATAGAGGTTATTGACCAATAAATTCAAGAAAAACAACATTTAATTTAAGGATGTTAAATTTTTTAATTTTTTATTGTTAACGAATTCTTACTATCTCTAACTTTGTTTCTAAAAGTATTTCAAAATGGTTGTCAAAAGCCTCCCAAAAACTCTCTAATTCTGATCTTGTATAAGAATTTATATGATTTTAAAAAATCTAATTAGAATAAACAAGAGACCACACCAAAATAATAAAGACTAAGACGTGGCCTTGCTGAAATTGCCCAAAGCGTTCGATACTCCAAATTAAGTGCCTACACCTTAACCCATGCGTTAAACAGATGACCGTGTCGGGAATTTGACCTTTTAAGCAATTTGGGTTGATGGTAAAATGACAGTACTGGTCCCTAATTTTTGGTTTCTGTACACTTTAATCCTCTAGTGACTGAGCTCTGTTATTTGGTCCTAAAAGTTATGATTTCATCCAAATAAGTTCTTTTCTACACAAAGAATGAACATTATGTAAAATCTCATAGAACTCATCCAATTATCAATAATATCAAGGCAAAAATTTTACATTAATATCTATAAAATTCTAACTTATCATAGACAACACTCATGCTACAACTAGCATCAAAGTACTCATGGTAACTAGATATCTCAATGTTTCACCAAGCAAGTACTCTACCTCTTCTGCATATCCAATTCATCATTAACCCAGGGATGCTTTGTCATCCTTCTTAGTCCTTCTAATTCCATAACCACTTCCTTCATTGTAGGCCTTCCTTCCCCTTTTACACTCAAGCATCTCCTTGCCAAGTTAGCTACCTCATTAAGTTGTTCAATGTTTGCTTCATTCACTATACAACCACCAAAAATCTTTCCCAAGCAATTATCTTTCATTGTTGCTTACAATTAGATACCTCTTGTAATTGTTGCTTCCTCAGAATAATTGAATCAAGTTATTGGAGTTTTATATTCTCAACATTTTTCACACTACATTTGCCCTTTAAGATAAAAGCATCAATCTAAGTAGATCAATGATGTTATTTATTTTTACATAGCATTCGAAGTACACACCGAGAACAATATATTGAAAATTAGGAAGAGAATCCTATCCACATGATTGTGGTCTCTTCCTTTCCCCCATTGTTTTTCTTAGTTTTATGATTGGCACTAACATGGATGGGTATCAACTAGTCACCAAGAAACTTTTGTTTATCGCCCATTGCGAATTGCAAGTTCTACTTGATCTGGAAAGTTGTTGGAGATGATGCTCATGCTACCACTAACATCAAAGTCATGACCAGATTTATCAGATGTTTCACCAAGCAAGTACTCTACTTCTTTTGGATCCCATGCATCATTAACCCATGGATGCTTTGTCATCCTTCTCAGTCCCTCTAATTCCATAGCCACTTCCTTCATTGTAGGCCTTTCCTCCCCTTTTACACTCAAGCATCTCTTTGCAAGGTTAGCTACCTCATTAAGCTGTTTAGTGTTTGCTTCATTCACTATGGAACCATCAAGAATTTTTCCCAAGCAATTATCTTTTATTGCAGAAAAAAAGTACATGGAAAGATTTCTCTCTTCCTCTACCCTGTCAAAGGAAAGTACCTTTTCTCCGGTCAAAAGCTCGAGAAGGACGACTCCAAAGCTGTAAACATCACTTTTCTCAGTTAATTGGCTTGTATGCAAGTATTCAGGGTCCAAGTATCCAATGGTTCCTTGAACAACAGTAGATAATCCAACCTGGTCTTGTGGAATTAACCTTGAAGTACCAAAATCAGATACTTTTGCTGTATAGCTATCATCTAGGAGTATGTTTGTAGACTTTATATCTCTATGAATAATTGGTGTAGATGCTGCAGAGTGCAAATATGATAGCACTCCTGCAGTTTCTGCTGCTATCCTTAAGCGGATTTCCCAAGTCAATGATGAAGCCTTTATTTTATTGTGGATGTGATGGTGGAGAGTGCCATTGGTAATGAATTCATAAACCAACAATGGAACTTCTGTCTCTAAGCAGCAACCTAACAGCTTCACCACATTTCTATGGTTGATTTGTGAAAGAATAACCACTTCATTTATGAATTGCTCATTTTGACTTTGATCAATAATGTGGGACTTCTTGATTGCAACAATTCTCCCATCTCTAAGAGTTCCTTTGTAAACCATCCCATAACCTCCTTGACCTATAATCCTGCTTTCATCAAAGTTGTTTGTGGCCTTCTCAAGTTCTTCAGCTGTAAAAATTTTAGTTGTTTTTGCAGATCCTTCATGGTTGGATAGTTGTTGTTGCAACATCAAACCTCCATTTTGCATGAAGAACTTTTGCCTGAGTTTGATGAGCTTCCATTTATTATATCCCCAAGACAACCAAGTGCCAACTACTAGCAATAATGCAAGGCCTCCAATCCCTTTGTAAGTTAAAGAAATGAGAGTGATTAGAAGAGTTAATAGAACATGTTTTGACTAAAATGGGAAGTTAAAAAGTTCAAAAACAAAATTAGTGTTTTGCAATGCAAACCACACCGGATTACAAAACACTAGCCATTGGGTTATGTGAGGTCCATGATATTAGAGAAGGGGCCTTCCATCCAATTAGGACTGCAAAACACAATACTCTTAAAAGTTTTCCCTCTTATAGAAAGTTAAAACTAAATTGTTCAATGGGCGTTCTACTTATATTTAGAACAAACTCAGGAGTTGTTTTGATTACTTGACAAAAATAGAACAGAAAATAAAAATCTGAAGTTGAAATTAAAAAAAAAAAAAAACCTGCAAAAGTATGTTAGATATGACTACTTGGAGGTGTAATAAAATATGTGTACTTGCCTATAGGGATCAGAATTCGCTTCCAGTCATACTGCTTATTTGCAACACAAACTTCTTTACCACTTATTTCAACACGATGGTAACCTTTGGAGCACGAACATGTATAACTTCCTATTGTATTGGTGCAGATCATACCTTTACAGTCATTGATATTAGGGTCTAAGCACTCATTAATGTCTGCGAAAAGAATGAAACCTATCAGAACTAGCACTACAGTTTTGACTTTCATGAAATACAACACATACAGCATGAGTATAAATGAGTTACCTTTGCAACCACTAGGTAGGTATGGATTTCCTTCAAAACCCTCTAAGCACTTGCATCGATATCTATTTTTATCAATAGGAATGCAAGAGCTATTTCCTTGGCATGCGTTCGCTTTTATACTTTTACCGCATGCATGGTTGACGTCCCGAATTGACCAATCAAGCACCATGGGGAGTTTACTAACATTTTGTAAGTCGCGAAGATTATTTGAAGTAAAGTCGAACTTACTTTCTTCCACGACGAAGCCATAGCTGCAAGGGTTGAATTTCCAAACTCTTGTATGATTTGTATAGCTTGTCACTGATACACTGAAGTAGTCCGTTCCTTTGGCAATGGATGTCTGGCAACAGCCAATTCCAGAACATGCGTGATTAGTTACATAATCAACGCTGTCACATTTGGTTATGCAACCTGCAGTGTAACTTTTATCACCTTGGAAACCTTCTATATATGCATACGTATCACAGCCAACAGCAACAAACTTGTTTTCAGTGTCAGAGATAGTATAACTGCCGTTTGAATCCAGTTGGAACGTAGGATTGTTGTCGTAGTCGTAAATTGGGCGACCGAGCTCATCATAGCAATCATGGGCTATCAATTTCATTATGTGCATCCTCCCTTCAGGAGTTATGTTGGTGACATTGATTGTACTATTTTGTATAAAAGCTAATGGGAGACCATAAGTGTCATTGCAACTTATGTAAAAATTGTGATCGTAGTAACATCCTTCTCTTGTACCAAATGGATATGGAATACTTACGTTGCCACATTTATCTGGACAACCAGGCTTCGCAATAGGAAGTTCTGCTGCAATTACTGCTAATGGTGCTGCAATAAGGATGACCAGCCAAAACCTTTGATGAATTCCCATGGCAAGTACTACTTCCTTCTTTGTTAAGATTGAAATTCAAGTTCAAAGATCCTGCGAATGAAAAGCCCTCATAAAATTGTAGACTTTGAAAGACCTATTAATTGGACGTCAATATAAAATTATTGTATTAATATCTTAATGTGACATAATTCTGCACAACTTATAAAGTTAAGTATTGATTACAATTTAAAATCACAGGAGAATTAGAATATTTCAAGAGTGATGCAATGCAATGGCGTACATGTTAAAGTTTAATTAAGGAAAGAATTACTCAATTAACAAACGGATTACTAAATTTGATGCGGAAATTAGTCGAAAGCCGCGCTAATAAACAAGTGAGGGTAGGGGTGGGTGGAAAAGTCTACAACCAAAATAAATTCGAAGTTGTTCGAAGTTATAAATAGTCGACAAATAAGATTTAACTGAATTTTTTATTTTCTTAATTAAAAGCTGAACCAAATCATTCTCAAACAATTTTGGATTTTAATTGCTAAAAATTAAAAAGGTTTAAAAACTGAACCTAACATTTTATCTCCTAATCCTATACATTTCTGTACTACGTATTCCATTAATGATTTCTTTTCTTGATACATCCAACTAAATTTGACTCCTTCAATAGATTCTATAACATATGAAGCATAGATTTAAAAAGGTTAATGCCATTTTTAGATCTTAAACTTTTGAATTTTAAAATTTTTAGCTTTAAATTATTTTTTTGAATTTTTTTATATTATGAAAAATACACTTTTTTAATCTTTTGTTAATTAATCTATTAACTATATATATATACATTTTTAATTCATAAATTTATAATATATCCACATTTTTAATTTTTGACCTTTTCAAAAACAAAAAATGTATATATATATATATATATATATCAAAATCCTGTATTACAGTCCGCTCTCTAGCAAACTGTAACATCAGGACCCTTGATAGGAGGAGGGGAGGGTCTAATATCAAGGGCCCTCCCGCTTTTAATGGTGATGATGGTCACAATCTGCCCTAACACAGTTTTATATATATATATATATAAATTTAATGGATTAGTTAATAAAATGACTAAAAAATATATTTTTTTCATAATTCAGAGAAAAAAATAAAAAAAAATAGTTTGAAAACTAAAAATATTTAAGATTAAAAGTTAAAGGACTAAAAATTGACATCTAATGAGAGTTGCTCGCCTCCTACTGAGATAAACTGCTTCTATTCCTGCCCCTATTGAATTGAATTGCTTTCCCTATTTGCCTACGGATTTGTTTAGCAAATACTTCCCCCAAGCTGGTTATTCCTTGCTTGACAAAGAGAAGGAAAAGGAAAGTAGTTTAAGAAAATAGTTTTCTATAGTAAAAAAAATCTAACAGAGATAAAATGCAAATAAGATTTTTTTAATTAAGGATATGAATTTTACATTTTTCTTTTTAAGGATTTATTGAATGGTGATGATAATATGCAAACAGCACTCTTAATTAGAATAGAGTAAAGTTTTTATTTTTAAATAAAAAGTTTAATTTATATCCTTAAATAAAAAAATTGAAAATTTATTAATTAATTTAGAAATTCAAAAAATTTATATCCTAAAAAAAAAAAGACAAAATTTATATCTTTATTGAATATTTTCTCACTTTTAACCATTTATAAGGGAAACACACCCAATTCACAATTGAATTCAACAAACCATGGCGAGTGAAACCCAATTGGCAAGAAGAAAGAAATCAAAGAGCAAAAGCAAGCAAGATGAATTAAGAGAAAGGAAAAGAATTGAACCTGCCGAAGTGGAACTCCGGATCGGACTAATCAACTTCAGAATTCATCACCCAAAATCAGATACCAAAGAGGTAAGAAAAGTAAGAAGTAGAGAACAATAGGAGAATCAGAAGGGAGAAAGAAGAAGAAAGAGATGAGGAAGGAGAAACAGAGAAAGAGAATTCTGTATATTCATCGACTGAAAATACCAAGATATAGAGGACCTTTTATACTAGAATTATGTACAACACTATAAGCCCAGAGGACAATATTTTTATTGCATTAGAACAATAGTTGGAACTTCTCAGTTATACTATACGTTCAATTTTGTAGAGGAAGGTAATAAAAGAGTGGGCAAAGACTTTTAAGGAGTCATCCTTTGAAAAGTCAGGAACAGGAATGATTGGAAACTTTACACGTTGAAGGACAGAGCGGGACACTGAGCTGGACAAGAAGACTGACTTCTAACACACGCGCACACAAAAAAAAAAAGAAAAATTACGATTTAGTATGGTGTTTA